TAAAAGATTCTACCCCAGGACCACAACCAGACAAGGAACAGGAAACAAGGCCAAATAAATCATTCTAGGGCTATATGATCCTAACTGTATACAATTCTTAAAGCATACTTTTAGCAATTACTGATACCAATACATATTCCCAATCTAGCATAGCATCCAATGCTTCGTAGGCTACAAGGCATCTCTCCTAGATCCTTAGACCTAATCTAGCATGCAATTCTCATAACATATAATATAACAAACATGTATGGGTATTCTGGGAACCACTTACTTGAGCTCGACTAATTGCACGCGTCGCATCCCCTTTGTCTTTATAAAATCCATTTTAGAAATTTATTCCCTTTATAGAATATATTTTTAGAAAATCATTTTCTTTCAAAATATTATCAATTCCTTAGTTTGAGTTTAAACATACCCAAGAGTATGCCTGAATCCCTCAAACCAAGGCTCTGATACCAACTTGTAACGTCCCAAAACTTACGAGGTAAAAATTTCGTTTTTAATACAACCAAAACATCCATTATCTTTTATTCAAACATTCAAAGGTGTTTCATAATAAAAACATTCATCAAAGTACAATCCCAAAATCATCATAATGCGGAAACATGGGTGGATGCGCTGCGATCAAGCCAGACCCTTCCCTTTCGAACTGGAAGTACCTGAAACCATAACCATAAAACCGTAAGCACAAAGCTTAGTGAGTTCCCCAAAATACCACATACCATACATACCATTGGGCCTAGCCCTCATATTTTGGCCGAGCCCATATATTGGGTCCAGCCCACCATAATGGGCCTAGCCGGATCATACAAATGCAAAAGTCACAAAGACAGTTAGCACCCTACATAACATAAAATGGGCCTAGCCCTTCCTGATTCATGGTCCTAGCCCAACATACTAATGGGCCTAGCCCAACATACAAATAGGCCCAACCCCACATACCATGCAAGAGTCTCAATGACAACTAGCATAACATATCCTAGTGCATCGGCATTAGTGCCTTCGACCAACGAGTACGGTGAGGAGACTCACCTCAATCCGTTGATAATCAAATAACTACTCGAGTCGCTGAACCGGATAACCTCGCACCAATTAGCAATAAATACGAGTATGATTAATAATCAACTCAATAACCCAAAATCCAAGGCCCAGACTAAAATCCAAGGCCCAAACCATTTTACCCTTTTCTTACTTGGCCCAAAACCAAGGCCAAAATCAATAGCAACAAAGGCCCATTATAGCCCAATATCCTAATTGGGCCCAAAACCCATCATGGGCCTAATTCCAAGAAATCCCTAGCCTATCCATGGCTCAAAGTCAAAAGTCTAATGGCTCAGCAGGGCCTAAACCCTAAAAGGCCGATAATTAGCATATTGGGGAGTACACACCGCGTACTAGAAGGGTACGCCCAACACACACACCCATGAAGAACAAAATACAAGTCCACTATGAAAAAAATCAACATTACGCTAAGCGTACACTTACATACGCCCAACGTACTCCTTAAGGGCCCAAAAAACTGAAATAAGCTTTTAATGGTTAAGACAATGACTTCCAAACTCATATATGACCCTAAGGAGATGTCTTAACACGTAAAGTTGGAAACTTTAACCCCTTTGTATGGCTTAATAGTACCAAATCCTCAATAAAATCCATAATAAACACCCAAACTCATGCATGGTCCAACATAACTCATCAAGATGACATTTTTATGAACAAGGGACCTCACAAATGCCAAGACCCGCATTCTAAGCTCATGGAGTAGCTCATACTCACATGGAAGACTCTAGGGACCAAAATGAACCCAAAACATTCCTTAATCTAGATCTAACACCTAGAGTCATCAAGTTAGAAACTTTATACCTCTAGAAGGTAGATCAAGATTCAACAAGCCTAGATTCAAAAGCTTCAAGCAATCCCACACTTCTCCAAGAATCTCCTTCTTCTTTTAAGAACACCAAAATGCATGAAATACCACCAAAAGCTCAAGAACCACACCAATAGGGGCTATGGTTTCGTTTCTAGGGTTTAAAGGGATGGATGATGAACTTCCTAGGGTTTAGTGTTGGGTTAAGGAGCTTAAATAGGGTCCAAGACCCTAAATTAGGGTTTGGATCAGACTGGAGTACACCCATCGTACACTTGGTACATCCAGAATACTCCAAAGGAGTCCCGCGATTTCTCTGCCTAATACGCCCAACATACTCGTCAAGTACGCCCAGCGTACTAGGCTTAGCCCTTACACCTTCAACTTCCGAATGCCATAACTTCCTCGTTTTAAGTCCGTTTTTGACAATGCTTTTATCCACGGAAAGGTAACGAGAAGCTCTACACTTCTATCCACTCATACTTGCCTTAAAACTTCCCGAACAAAAATCCAAAATTCATAAAAGGCCCGAACTGCCAATTTACGGATATACCCTTGGGCTCCAAATCTCAAGTCGGGCTCCCGGATCATCTAACTTACATTACCCACACCCAAATGGGTCTAAATCTCTCTTTCCCAAAGGACCTAAGCCTTATGATAATTGATTTTTGGGTCACAACCCTAAATTAAGAAACGATTCGGAACATGGTGTTAAATTAAAATTATGGTTTGATTGCAATTTGGATTTTATGAGTTATTTAACTTATCTTATTTGTTTGATGAAATATCCATATGTGTTAGAGTTTGTATCTTATTTACCTATTGATGAGTAAATAAGATCTAGATGACCAATCTGAATATGTTTAGTTGAATCTGGCCATTAATAATTGTTTCTAAATATGAACCAAATCCTAAGGTTAGGTTAATTAAGTAATGAACTTTAATGTGTGTGAATTGGATTAGATGACCATTTTGCACCAATTGATTATCATGACCATTGAAATCAATTATCCATTCAAATCTTGCATGATACAAATTAAATACTGATGATAGGGATAATTAATGTCATGATCATAGAGTTAAAAGTCCTTAGTATAATTAGGATTTATGAACGGATTATGGAAACGAATAACCTTAGGAACCGATGAATAATGAGTAATCTCCATTGTCCGACATAGAAATCATCCATGATTGAAGGGGTAAATCAAGTCTTAATTAAAGTACATTTATTTGTTTGTTTCCAAATCCCTTTTCAAATTTATTGTTATTAGCTTTTGTTTGATGATGTCTTTATTAATTAAATTCCCCTTTTATTTTATTGTATTTAATTTAATTGATAATCAAATTTTCTAAACTGAATCATACCCGTTTTCCCAATGTTTGACAACGTTGTCTTACCAATGCTATACTACTAAACAATTGAATGGAATCATCACGACACAAGATCCTTCAAGATATGAATTGGTGGAATCAACACAAAGATGCAATATAGTGGACAGTGAAACAACTGAATTGATTTAAACGTGCATCCATTAAATGTGTTGTTTGATTTGGACGATCCTTTTAGAGCTTGTCATAATTCTTTTTATTTTGATTTGGATGGCTGTTCTTTTTTATGGTTGTTTGATAACGTTTGTTTAATAATTGAAAGTTTGATGATATAATTACGTTCTTAATTTTAAAAATTATTTTCAAGGGAAATATATACGATATTTTATATTTTGTAGTTTACGCATAAATTGTGGTATAAAAAAATTTATATGAGGAATGTTTAAAAGAAAAAACGCATTTAATGTAAAGTTTCAGGTATAAATAACTTTTTAGTGGGATGGGGGTGACATTTACAGCTTTGGTAAAATAGAAGAAAGAATAAAGTAGACATTTTACAAAAAAAATGTGTATATAAAAAAGAAACTATTAATAAAGAAAAAAATAAAAAAAGTTATATATATATATATATATATATATATATATATATATATATATATATATATATATATATATTAGTTTATAACCCGTGGGAACCACGGGTGCGAAATTAATTACATTTTCATACTAAAATATCGTAATTATTAATCAAATAATATAATTAAATTATTAATGAATAGTTATTTTGTATAGTTATGTAAAATTAAAATCGTTGATTCAAATAAGTATGTGAAATTGATTTTCAATATATATTATATAGTTTTTATTTGTGAAAAAAAAACGTTACGATATAATATAATGATATATTAAATTTATTGTAAAAATAAAACAACCCCAATAAGTGAAGTAAATTAAAATTGGTAAATAAATCAAAAATTAAGTTGTTAAAATAAACGTATATTATAAAAACAAGAAATTATAAAAGAAAAATTAACAAAGTCTTATTAATAATAAGAAGAAAACATGTTATGAGGAATAATATATTACATACAACTTACAAATTTCTAAAAACTTCTTTATATACAACATTAGAAGTTTTATTTGTAAGTTTACCATCCTTATCTAAAATTAACAATTTTAATCATTCTCTACTTTGAACTCTAGATAGGGCAACATATAATTTGACCATGTGTAAAAACCGAATCTTTCAAAAACAAACCAACATTAGATAAAGATTGTCCTTGGCTCTTGTTAATTGTCATTGCAAAGCAAACAGCTAATTGAAATTGTTTTCTTTGGAATTTGAATGAGATTTTTTTTTCAGATGGTGTGAAGGTCATTCTTGGAATAAAGGTCCGATTTCCAATATTACTTCCAGTTATGATAACTGCCTCAATAACACGTTTGCCCAAAGATATCACCTGTAGTCTAGTGCCATTACATAAGCCATTTTTTTGATCAATGTTTCTCAGTAACATAACTGGAATCCCGACTTTCAAAACTAACTTATGATTAGGCAGACCTGAGACTTTAAGACCATTTAAAACATCAGGTGAGTATAAATTGGCATCAAAGTGATCATGGACAAACTCAGATTCACATAGTTTATCCGAACTTAGATATTCTACTTCATCTCCTGGAAATAATGCTAGCAAACGATCATTTATTTTTCCGACAACTTCATTCTTTGGAGCAAGTATTGCTCTTTCTTGAAAATATCCTGGAATGCTAGAAGCTTCAAGAATTGAAGGATATACAAACTCGATTAATGAACCTATAGGATCATAAGGATCATTAATTAGAAGATCATCTGGAATATCAATAATCGCTTCGCCATCGTTAGAACCACCAAGTTTCCCTTCTCCTATATCCAAAAGCCATTTTGCAAAATCCATTGTCTGTTGAATAGCAGATGTATCACTTCCGACCGTTAGCCTCATATTCTTGGTTAGTTGATAGACTTTGCATTGTTTCCATAAATATGATGAACTTAAGGAAGCATTGACAATGTCTTGTTTACTATCACTTGGGATAACAGGTAGAATTTGTCTAAAATCTCCTTCAAAAACAATTACTTTCCCTCCAAATGGCAAATTTGAGTTTCTAGGATTATGACACTTGAATATATCTTTAAAAGTTCGATCTAAAGCTTCAAATGCATGCTTGTGAATCATGGGTGCTTCATCCCAAATTATTAATGAGGTTTTTCGTAATAAACTGGCAACTTCACTATCTGGTGATATCGAACAAATAGAAACCTCAGTAAGAACCAAAGGAATTATAAACCGTGAATGTGCCGTCCTGCCATCGGTCAATAATAAAGAAGCAATCCCACTTGATGCAACATTTAAAACAATTTGAGCATTACATCTAACTGCGGTAGATAATGTCTTCCAAAGATAGGTTTTACCTGTTCCACCATAACCGTAGACAAAGAAAACACCTCCTTCATTATTCTTTATTGCAGTCATGATATCATCAAAAATGTTTCGTTGCTCAGATGTTAATGCAATAGAAAGTCGATCAAACTTCTTCTTCAAATATGGCATGTCATAATCTAGCTCCTCACTGATAAGACGATTGTTTGAAGAGGATACAGAATCATCATCGGGCAAAGGCATCCTTGTAAATTTTTTGAGACTTGAATTGTTACAAAGTAAAATTTGTTCAATATCAAACAAAGTCAGGTTCTTAATTTGATCTTCATTAAGTGATAAACCTGAAACAAAATTGGTATAATAATTACAAAAAAAATATAAACAATTTTTTTTTGAAATAAATTAATATTGTATATTTCTTTAAATATGCATTTTAAAATAAATAAGTAAAGAATATTATAATACCTGGAGATTTTAATTTTTGTTGTTGAGTGTAAAGAATTCCATCTGACAAGTATTCTCATGTATTTTCCCACACAACATCCGGGCTAGACAAGCTGTGAGATAATAACATGGTAGCGAATAAGAAACGTAAGTAATAACCAGATCCAGACTGACTTGCCTCCTTAATAGCTTCGATGTATTCTTTATCATCATCTAAGAGGCCGAGAGCATAACATGCATCTCTAAATGAAGGACATATTTCACCATTAACCATGCGGATTTCTTCAAATGATCTTGGTCCTTTCACTTTGTTTAAAAGAATTCTTAAGAAATATGTTTCGCCAAGATTAGGTGACACTGAATGAATTCTGCCAATCGAATATCCAACCTCCCTTGGCTTCCAAGTTTTTGAATCAAGCTTCCAAACAAACTTTGTTGGAAATTCAACATAAGTTAGTTTTTTTGCTTGTTTGTAAACCTTATTGCGCTCCATCCAAGATGTGAACATTGAAGAAGCAACTGAAGACTGGTTAAGAACATTATCGATATCATCATTTGCGCCGTAGACAACTTGTTGTTGATTAGGAAGATGAAAAGGAAGTCTCATCACTGAAGGATGTATGTAATGAACATCACATCCATAAATTCGCCAGAATGCTTCACATGCAGAAAGATATCTACAATCACAGTATTCTTTTATCTCATCGACTGTATCATCTTTATCACAGTCATTGTTGTTTTGTACAAAAGCAACAGTAGCTCTATCGGGACCTTTATTGATATATTTGAATAAATACTTGATGGATGATCCCTGATTGCACCATTCAACATTTATATGTGTTTGGTATCTTTTCAATAGGTATTTGTTGTATGGAACAACATTTCTGTTATCTAACTGGACACCAGATTTTTCGACAAACGATCCATCGTTTTTTCTCCTATATACAAGAAAACCATTATGATCAATTGAAGTATGTTCAAAGAAATTCTTTGGGAAGTTTTTAGAGCATTTGTTATCCACCATGCAAGGGCAATTAACATTTTGAGCACCATATGGACCATGTATCATGAACTCCTTCACAAGTGAATACAAAGCAGGATCTTGGTGAATGTTGGGAATCTCAGCTGAAATAAATTGATGAATGTGTTCCACGGTAGGAAGCTTGTAATCAGGTTGCATGAATAGACAAATATGACTATGAGGCAAACCGCGCTTTTGAAACTCAATTGTATACACAACTGCATATATAGAAATAAACAACTTTGTATTAATAAATTAAATAATGTAGCAAATATAACTATATTTTAAATAAAACACGACATTAAAATATAATATGGTTAGTATGAATAAAAAAATTTAAATACCTGCTTGAACCATGCCAAATACTGCATTCTCACGTAGGTCTTTAATCAATGCCTCAAGTTTGATCTTAAATAACCTACATAGGATATCAGGTCTATCCTCTGGATTAAGCGTAGTGTCTTTAAGAAATCTTCGAACTTCTGGCCATTTTGGATTGCATGTAAAGGTTATGAAAAAATCAGGATATCCAAACCACTTACAAAGCGACATGGCGTCTAAGCAGTTTTGCATCATGTAACGAAAAAAAAATCATTAATATTAATTAATTATATTGATATGAATTGTTTAAATCATTTAAAAAATAACATAGTAATTATACAAAAAAAATTAACATACAAAATAATTCACCGTCTGATATGGTAGACATTTTTTTAGATCTTCTATTATCCAAATATAACTTCCTTAATTTTCGTCGTTCTTTAGCTGAAGTGGAATCCATGGTATATTCATTCATCTGTATATGAAAAATAAATATAATTAGTATTTAATATAAAAACGGTACGTTAAATCAACAGTTGTGTATAATGTTACAATTATAAAAAATGTTATAAAACAAATATAAAGTATGATGAATAGTTTAAAAGTATTTGAAAAAAAGGTAATGATCCTATTTTACCCTCATGTTTTTGAACGAATGAAAAAATAGATTTGAAAATGCAAGGTCATTGCAATGGCCACCATTAGTTGGTGCCAACTGTGAGATTGAATGAACATCAACCGGGAGCCAAAAAATATGTATATAACTTATTTTCAAAGAACAAATAAATAAATTGATAAATTAGTTAATTTTTAACTAATGAATTAAAAATAATAATGGATTTATTAAAGGATTTAATTAATAAACTAATAATCTTAATATTAATAAAAAAAGAAACCAAAAATAAAAGTTTAATAAAACATAATCACATTTCAATCAAATAAATCTTTTTTGGTTTCATATCTATACATATTAATAATATTAATTTGCATATGACACTTTGTAGTAAATTTTTATGCTTATAGTAAATATTCCGATTCAAATAAGATATAATGTACAAATTTTTTTTTTTTTTATCATGTTAGACTTTCTATATATCATATAAATTAAAAATAGAATTAATATTAATAAGAAAACTAAATAAAATTGAATCCAGCCAAGATTTCTTTAATCCATCAAAAATAAAAGATAAAACAAATACAAAAGAAACAATAATAATTATATATCATATACTCCTTATAATATTAAAGTTCATTATTTTTTTATCACATAAAAGCTACCAGAAGCACTTCTCTTCAAGAACGCAGAATACAGTCAAGTAAGCGATGAAAGGATTTTCAAAAGCAAATAAAGACACGGTACCAACGAAGAGTCGTGCAGCAGCGGCGGATGAGATTTCGAGTGTCCTAGAGGGTAGTGACGCCGTATGAGTCTACCGACGGAGCTTGATCGTAGGCTAACAGACGGAGGCAAAAAGTGTAGGCGATTGTAAGATGTATTTCAGTTGGTTAGTCAGCGAGAGGCTGATAGCTGAAGAAGAGGGTGAAAACAGAGAGTCGGGACTGAGAACGGAGAGGGATTAGAGCGTCATCAACGTATTTCAGCAAAAGGTTTGTAGCTTATTTGGATCTAGGGTTTTAACTTTCTGGTAATAGTTATCGATTTTTAAAAATTCTCACTCCTCACAGGATGGATTTTTTGTAAAATTGAAGGCAAATGGAAGATGGAAAATTCAGACGTGATTGATTTTAAAGTAAAAAAAATAAGTAATTGATTTCCTTATATATGGTTTGCTAAATTGAAGCCTGAAAATGAGGATTGATTGAAACAAATTGATTTGAAATGACACTTCAAATAAAATTGGAATATTAAAGAATGGTTTTTTTTTTTTTATTCTGAATTGAAGCTTAAATTCAACACTTAGGTCTCCCACTTGTTCTTTAATAACGACACTTTTCTTAGCTCATATCCCAGAAACTGCTCCAAATCACATAGTTATGCAATGTTGGTTAGGTTAAATTAACCCAAATTAATTATAATAATGAAGAAAGGAAGCAAGTGACATGTATAGGTATAATAGCAACTTGCATCTGGACTATAACACTATAACAAGTGTATACACATATTTAACAGTAATATAATCGTCTTACCTAGAAGTTATAAAATAGCAAATTGCATTCATTTATTGGATATAATGGGAAATCAAGTAACTATTTCCTTTGATATGGTTGAAGGAGATTAAGTTAAATAAATATGTGGAACCATGAGTAAGGACAATTTTGTAGCAGAGTCACTATTCTTCAACTTTGTGCAGACATATAAAGATGAACGAATTTTGCTTCTTAATGAGAAAATTGATCTTCTTATAATTTTGGTAGGGATGGAACTGATATTTGGTTATGAGTTTTCACTTCCATCTTTTTTCAAATCAAATAATTTGGGAATTTTTCTACATTTCATCATGTATTTTGACTTACAATTTGTTTGACTTTGACACACTAAAGCTAAAACGTACAAAAAAAGGTTGTATTAAGAATTGAATGTGTAAAAAATATACTTGGATAATATGGATATTTGAGTGTGGTTTCTAAGATGAGATTGCCAATTTACATAATTTTACATTTTTTAAATTTTTTTCAGGCTACATGAATGTTTAAAGGACATTTGTGCCATTTTCTTTACGTTCCTTGGGTTTTATGACTCCATTTCGTATCCTTCACATTCATTTTTCTTTAATTTTCAATATTGAAATTAGTTTTTATTTAGTAAATCCATTTTTATCCTTGAAATTCTTTTTCCTTCAATTAACAATATACAAGTATTTGTTTCCCTTTGACTTAGTATAGAACAAAAGACTTAATTAAGTTTATAGCAAAAAAAGTAAAAAAAAAGTGTAACTCATTATCATTGTTTTGTGGAGAAGGTATTAGCAATTAGAGACATTAAATTTGTTATTTAGTCATTGATATTTCTCAGTAAGTTTTGTCTATCTTATATCTTATAACAGTATGTTGTTGTGTGTTGGTGTTATATGTTTACATTTCTTATGCATTTGTACTTTTTCAAAACATTACCGGGTCTTTTTTATCTTGACATATAATTACTCTTTTGTCCCCAGAAAGCTGGAGATCCCAGGGGTAACTGAATTTAGAATCCTTTTAAAGGTGTTGAATTCCTTATACCTTATAACATTAATTTATGTGTTCGAATAAAAATTTGTAAGATACACTCTAAAAATTGACAATTATGCCCCTGATTTAATGATGTTATAGAAATGTTATCACATGATTAAACTGAGTTTTGAATCTATTACAATCATTAAAAGTCATTGAAAATGATATTTAAAATGTTGGAATCGAATGATGTAAGCAAAATCTTTAACCGGTGATCAGAAAATAAAAATACATACTAATAAAAATACAATAGTTGGATTTTTGTGGAAAAAATCAGCTTTCATTAGATAAATATTGGATTTTTGTGGAACAAAATCAGCTTTCAGCTTTCATATTCCAATTCCTGATTTCTAAATCATGGGCATAATTGTCATTTTTTAGAGTGTATCTTAAAATTTTTTATCCGAACACACAAATTAATGTTATAATGTATAAGGAATTCAACACCTTTAAAAGGATTCTGAATTCAAGCTTTGGATGAGTCCTTTATTGTTTAAATCAATAAAAACTATTCTTTCATATTCCAATTGTTCATTTTTAAATCAGGGGCATAATTGTCAATATTTTTAGAGTTATAAGTTAATATTTTTTACCCGAATACACAAATTAATGTTATATTGTATAAGGATTTTTGACTTTTGTCAAATGTTTTTGTTTTTTATAGGTTTAAGTGAGTATGTAGCTAAATGGGACGTGGAATTATGGCATGTGTTCTAGAAATAATACCCAACAATGAAGATCTAAAAAAGGTATACATTTCTTTACTTATGAAATTGCACGCCATTGTTTATAAATTAAATCAATAACCTTTTATTTTATTGTTAAAATTGTAGAAAATAACAATATAGTTTATTGAACATAATATAAATATGATTGTACTTTATGAAAATTAGGAAACAAATTATTAAGAAACAAACACATAATATAAAGTCATCCTAAAAACTATTAAGAAACAAATAATTTAAACCAAAAAACAACCAAATCCATCAAATCTCTAACAAAAAAAAAATGAAAATGTCTTAATACCCTTAGGAAAAAATTAAAAAAAAAACGAAACTGTCTTAATACCCTTAGGAAAAAATTTAAAAACTGATTACTGTTCTTAAAAGGTAGGTGACCAATCACTTCTCCAACTTAACTATGACAAGTTTATGTTGTTCCCCTCCTACAACTTTTGTGGCCTTTGATGATGACATGTTGTCGTTGACATCCAAAACAAAATCATCCTCAAGAGCTCGCTTCAAACCTTTCGTTGCATCCAAATTCTTTTTTGGGCTTGTGGCTGTCGATTTGAAAACATTCATTGGTGTCACATTATCATCAGTCTGAGATATGACATGGCCTTCCTTGACACGCATTTGTGTGTCGTCTGAGCGTTTTACGACACACATTGCGTGTCGTAAAAGGCTATTTTTCTAGTAGTGCATCCTAAAATTAACAAAGAAAAATAGTATTATTATAGCTTATTAAAGTTAAAGATAATACTAACATTAGATATTGAGATAACCAGGAGTACACCTTTATAAATATGTTATCTTGAGATTCACAATCAGTGGTACCATGTTCAAACGATTGTGAATTACTTCCCTGTTCAAAAAATAAATGAAAAATTAATAAGTCGTTTATTAAGTATATTATAGTTTGGAAAAAAATTCAAATATAATAACCTCTGCAACGACAAACTTTTTATCCAACTCCTCAATCAAAGTCTCATCATCACTAATCTTGGAAATAGTATATTGATTGTTGTTCCTTTGCACATTGTATTTTGAAACAGAAACTATGAAAGCCAATTTCATATCTTTCAATGCTTTAATATCGGACGGGTATACGTTAGTACAAAATCCAAGCTGCAAGTAAAACATCAATATATGAAATTATATATTAAAACAATATTTTTTAAAAATAATAATAATAACAAAAACATTCACCTTAGCTGTTTTTGCAACTAAATCTTTTGCAGAAATTTTTAGAAGCTTCTTCGCATCTTGTTCAAACATTGTTAAAGTGATACTTCCGGTATGATCTTGAACTCTTACTGAAATCATGAACCTTTGGACAAATGTAAAATCCTCAAAATTATTCAACATAATTTGAAAACACTATTATATCAAAATTGAGTTTTCCAAAAAGTATTAACCTTGGAAATGTCGATGTTTCAGTTTTAGTGCATTTTGGATTTCGACATTCATATGTTACATTTTTGAGTGATCCGGTGACATTGGGTTCATCGGAAGGATTGTTTGGAACTGCTTTTGTATTGCAATTTGTACATGCCGGGTAATACCAATGTGTGTTTTGAAGAATTCCCTTTTATGGTCGCAACAATAACATACTTTTTTATCTGATTAAAAAAAAGACAATAATATTATAACATGTATTGAATATTAAATAACCGAATGTGTTAATTACAGAAACTATATCTAAAAAACAGAAATTAAAAAGATTGATAGAAATTGCAGAATTTTGTTTACCTCAATGGGTTCGAAAATACCAGAGATTGTTTTCAGCTCATGATTAAGCACAAATTCATCCTTTTCAGAAATTCGATTAGATTTCATAAAAGAGAAAGTATTGAGTTTTCATGGGGACCATCTTCATTCAAACTGTTAATTAACATAATAATTAAATCTTTTATAACATAAATTGCCATTTATTATTACCAAAAACAAATTAAAGAAATGTAATATACCTTTTTTTGAAAACTTTTATCTCATCAATGTCACTATTGATGATGAACTTCGATACATCATAGTATGTATTAACATATCGACGATCTATAAAAAAATATAAATAAATAAATAAATAATCATTGCAATATAAAACAGAAATAAAAAAAACAGTATACCTTGCCAGACATTAATCTTTGCAAATTGAAGGATTATGACGATGCGGAGAATGTTTACATTGTTTTGGATGTAATCCGAGAATTTGTAACAATAATCTCCCCATAGGTTAACATCCAATTGAGAACCACTAACAAAAAAGATGGGAATTAAAAATTACAAACAATAATTTTTTTTGATATTGCAATAAAAATAGTTAATACAGTCAATAATTATAGTTTATAAATAACAAACTCGACATCATGGATTTGTAGTCTCATCTTATGCCTCTTTCTATCTTCATTTCGAGCATCAATTTCACCAATTGCAAGCACCAAACCGATAACATCTATATATAAGCATAAATACCAAAAAAATTCCTGAAATTAGTTACTATTTTAAGGGTAGAAATAAATAAGTTATTTAAAATATATAAAGTGTTAGGTAAATAGAAAATACTAACCCAATGAAATATTTTCTGGAACAGTGTCGGCGATAATGGGATGATAGTCAATAAAAGCAAACTCATTAACTGATCCCGAAAACTCGAGACAGGGAGTGATAGTAGTCTCGCGATTGAAGGTGAGCTTTTTGCATTTGATCAGTAAGTCGAAATTTACCTTCATCAATCTTTGCTAAATTTAGATTTTTGATGAAAAAAGCTTCCCCTTCTTTTAGAACTTTTCTAAACTTGTAAACATAAGCATTGGGGACATAACCTTCGATCTTGTTACCCTAAATTATGATGTATATTAATATCAACATTCAAGTTTTGTTATTAAAAAGATAAATAAAAATATAAATCTGTAAATAATTTAAAACCATATATGTAGTATACCTGTTCGTCCATTAAAATAACTTGAATGGAGAAAATTTCGTCTTTGTTATAGTAACATTCCAGTGTCCATAATCTGATAACACGAAGCTTCATAGTGAAGCTGTCCTTCAAGACATCAAGATCAGGTATGAAAGTTAAATCAGCAGCAGCAACAACCATGTAGATGCAGAGATGTGGAAGAGAATTAGCCTCTGAAAGCTTTTTGAATACAGCAGTAAAGAAAACAACGACCATCAATCGATATTTGCTGGTATTTATAGGTATAATTTATAGGTATAAGTATAAAGTAATCATCAATTCTTTGTTGAATTTCTGGGATATCAATTATTTATATTCTTTATATATCTCTATAAGTATAAACCGAATGTTTTTGAATGCAGGTCAGATTCTGGAGTATTAAAACTGATTTGCTGATTTCTTGGAATTGATATGATAATTTCAAGACTTACATCAAAGAATGAGCGGGAAAATAAGCGAAATCGTATATGTGGTAGTGAATATTGGAATTAAAGAGGTTTAAAAGGGGTAAATTGGAATATCAATAGCTGATTTTTAGGGATATGATATATGTATCTGTATTATCTATATTTCAATGCATGTAAATTTGTAAAATAAAAAAATATTTACTGAAATTTAGGACCTGATTTTATGGAATCAAATAGTGCTGTGATATTATACCCGATTATACCTTATACCTTATAGCCGATTTTGAATTTTGAATGAATGTAAATGAATTCTGAAAGTTTATTATGGAGACATGTGGCATGTATACAGTTTGACACATGGTAGTTTTACATTCAACCTATTTATTTATTAGAAAGGGAGATATATATATATATATATATATATATATATATATATATATATATATATATATATAACTGTTGCCAGTTTTCCAAATCAAACACTTTTTAAGTATACAATTGTAACAATAAGGACCCGTTTGCAGGGACGGACGCAGGATTTTACAGTACGGGTTGCACGGAAAAGTTAGGGGTTGCCGGTGCCACCGTGGACCACCCCTAGGTCCGCCCCTACCCGTTTGATTGATATATTTCCAGGTCCAAACATATCTTTCTGGCTAAATGAATCGGAAAGACTATTCGGCTTGCACAAAGAAGAGTATTTCCCGGTAAGATATGTCTTTGCCACAAAGTCCCAAAACCATATCTAAATGAAACTTTGGACAATTGTGCTCTAACAAAAAACAGATACCGACTTTTCTCCTCAGTACCTCGCCTCTTTCTTTCTTCTCTTCGGCGCTCTTCATTAAACATCATTGCCTCCTCACCAAGCCCCTACTTCGTCGCCAGCTTCCTCCCAATGGAACGCCGTTGCAGCCACCAGCTCCGTCTCCGTCCCACAGGTAACCATCTCATCTCTTATTATTTTTTTTTTCTGATTTGTTTTTCTAATTGAAGAGTACTAGACGTGGACCTTCATCTGTTTCATCTTATTTTCTTTCTTCTGATTTTTGAGCATATGATTTAGGAGGACCATTTCATATATAAAGTTTCAATTAGAAATTTTAATTTTAACATGCATTTTATGATTTTGTGATGATTATTGTGTAATTTTGATTTTGTATTGAATTTGTATGTTTTTATAATTATACACCAACTTCATTCATCGTAGTATCGAGCAACATGATAATATGATCATTTTTTATCATTCAACATAGTCAGTTAAATGTACAATCAATTAGGACTGTGCATGGGTCGGTTTGGGTCGGTTTTGGACCCCAACCCAACCCAACCCGTAAATGATCGGTTTCTGGTTTTCAGAACCCAATAGGATCGGTTTCTGGTCGGTTCGGTTTCTCGGTTTCTGATATCGGTTTGGACGGTTTCTCGGTTTCTTGGGTTCAACCCATACACTTACGGTTTCTGGGTTTAAACCCATGGGTTTTGGGTTTGAACCCATTTTCCAGAAATGTAACAATTAGTTAAATAATTCAAAAAACACCTAATTGAAGTTAAATACTTCAAAAAACATGAGTTTTACAACCAAATTGTCTATTACAACCAAACACACAATCAAACTAAAACACAAAGTCCGAAATTGTCGATTATACGATTACAACCAAACACACAATCAAACTAAAACATAAAGTCCGGAATAGTCAAATAGTCGATTACAACCAAAAGTCCAAAACACGCAAACAGAAATCTTCAATCCACATCCATGTAAATCTCTTCACCAATTCCCCATTCATCTACAAACCAAAAAAACATTAGTATTGATCAATGATTATTGAGTAATAAACTTGTGTAAAAGTATAAAATTATAATAATTGAGTTATAAACCTTTAAAATTCAAGTAAAATCCTCATCCATGCAACTCCCTTGACCACACCCCAATTCCTCTACAAACACAAACGTACAAAACAATAGTATGTAATTAATTGATTATAAACATATATAATTACAAACTTATAATCAACAATCCATCTACATAGAAAAAAAAAACAATCAACAATCCATATGTAAACCAAAAGATTTCAGGAAATAAGAAGCTTCAATTCAGCAATATTCATCAACATTTCACAGCAACCCATAAGATTCACAACTTTCAGAATAATATTACAATATTTAAGCAATATTTATCAACATTTCACAGCAAGATTTCAGGCAAAATCTAACAAAAACCATTGATTATTTTGATAGCAAGTAAACATAATAAGAGTAATAAGATTTCAGCAAGAATTCCAGAATTCTTTAATGCTTGGAACGAAGTCACGAACCCAAATCAGGAAAAAAAAACGAAATCAGAAAAAAACGAAGTCACGAACCCAAGATTTCCAGATTTCCAGAATTCTTCAATGGCAAATTGCCAAATTGACAAAAAAGAACAGAAATCAGAAAAAAAAAAACGAAATCAGAGACACATTGACACATTCTACATGAACACAACATTCAGAACATAAGCACAGCAAGGGAAATCAGAAAAAAAAAAAAAAAAAAAAAAAACGAAATCAGAGGAACGAACCGTATTTGGCGGCGCCGGAGGTTTGGGGTTCCGTCGGAGCCTCGGATGTGTGCGAGCGGCTAAGCGCCGGAGGACAGAGGACCTTCACTTCAATCTTCAGTCGTCTACTCGTCTTCAGTTCAGTGGGATGCGCCGATGGCCGATGGGGAATGCGAGACTGTGAGTGCGAGACTGTGAGTATCGAGTAGGGCAAAACGAAAACGAGAGTAAATGACCTAGGCTTCTTTTATTTATTTTTATTTTTTTAATATATATATATATATATATATATATATATATATATATATATATATATATATATATATATATATATATATAAACATAAAATAATCAGTAAAAAGCATCGGGTTTGCGGGTTTACTTGGTCGGTTTCTCGGTTTTAAAGAGGGGTCGGTTTCTCGGGTTGTTGGGTCGGTTTCTGGGGCCAAAACCGAAACCGAGCCCGAAAAGTCGGTTTTTAAAAATTTAAAACCCACACCGTCGGTTTTGATTCGGTTTCGGTTTCGTCGGTTTTTGTCGGTTTCTCCGTTTCTTGGTTCGGGTTTGCTCACCCCTACAATCAATAACATGGTTCCTTTCACTGTCAGAAAACTTTCTAAGACAACATTTTCCCAGACAGGAAGTATCAAAGGAGAACTAAGAGTAAACACCATTACACTCAGCGTTCCCAATTGCCTTGGACTTGAACCATGAGATTCACATCTTCGTGGTTGCAAAAAGAAACAATAAAATAAAACTTAGTGTTCGATTAAAAAATGCATTTAAATGCAGTTTCTGTTTATTGGATTCTACTCAAGATACAAACATTTAATGGAGCTACAAATGTAGCTACAATTGACACAAAGCTTATTAAAGTTTACAACCTATAATAACTGACAATAGGAAACTAACACTGAAAATCGATCATAAAAAGTAAAAACAATCACAAATAATATATCAAATTAAAGCAAGAAATTTCAAGCTAAAATTAGCTGCAATCACACATTGGTAGCTGCATCCAAAGCCATGATGGTGCTAAGATTCATCGGTGACATGTAATCGGTCGTTCCCGACAAAATATTCCTAACAATGAGTCTGTTTGCCTTCTCAGAAGGATGGAAAGCGTCCCAAAATGCATATATATCTCTATTGGGACACAAGTTTGATAATGGTGTGCATAGCCCGATTCCATTAAATGGTCCTTGTCCACAACATGCTATCTTCGACGTAACAAATCCTGCCCACCGAAAAACATTCAATATTCACATAAATGACGGTTTAACACATGTATTTTTTCCTTGGGTTATACTAAGTTGGTTATGGGATTGTATATTTGCAGTTAAAGAGTTAACAATTTTAATTTCAATGTGAACAATATGGGTCATTTTAGAGGTTGCTGGAAGAATAACAGGTTGCTGGAAGAATAACGTGTATATTATTGAAAATGTGACAAATAATGAACTGAATTTTACCGTATCTTCCTGGGTCAGAGATGAAATCGATGTTGGTTTGTTGAATATTGGCACCAATAAACACATTGCTCCCAATCTCACTATTGAGACTATTAATCATTGCTTGAAGCTGAGGGTTGAACAAGGCTGCTGCTCTTTGCAATTCGGGCGCGCAATTACCATTTCGACCTCGTTGGGCTAGTTCGGCTGGCACGCATCCCAATGGTCCGGTACCCGTGACCAAAACTCTTCTTAATCCCAATTCATAAAGCCTCTGTATACATCAAAAAACATTAAATTAGCAATGAACAATGTTGTTTCAGATCTAGTAATCAATTATTACGTCGTTACTCTAACGGATATTAACTGAGTGAATTCAATAGTCGTCCATAATTAATTTTGTTCTCATTAAATGCATTAATATTGAACAGATACAGCACATGGGAGAGTTACATGTTACTATCTTTAGCAATAACTATGATATGGACACATACATCCAACTACCTCTACCTTCTATATATAAATCAATAAACTAATCAAATTAGTCCAAACCATGCATGATTTTAATTTTAAAAAACTTTGATTTGATCTACAAATTAACTAGTATGACGCACGAGCTATTCAGTCAACAATGATTCAAAAGTGACAATGTTACAAAACAAAAAGCTTGTTTTGTTGGTGTATTTTTGGCAAATGGAAGAATGAAAAGAGTGGTACCTACCGCTAAAACTTTACGGTATTCGGAGATCAAGTAGACAACATAATCTGGAAGAGCAAACTGTCTAGATCTTGCTGAGAATGGGACTAAATAGTAATTGTTTACAAAATCATTGCCTCCCAATGTGATGAGTGTTAAAGATTGAGTAACAAGCGCTTGAGTCTGCTCAGGGCCAATGATATCACTCACCCTTTCCTGATACTGTTGAAAGTATTGCATTTGCAGTCCGATCCTTATTATGTTATTCTGCATAATACATTTTACGTAAACCATAAATATCAGTTCAAGATTTCTTGAATCTAGACACAAAATAAGCATATATATTCATCATTATGTGTAAAATCCTTCTTTTTACATGCACGTAAAGGGCTTGTTTAAGCTTGGAAAATACTATATATTAAGAGTGGGTGATTCTAACATTACGTTAGACTATCAGTATTGTGTGAAATTTTGATGTAAAGTTTAATAATTTATATATATGGAAAGAATTTAGACAAATCTCCAACAATCTTGACATATATGTGAACGTGGAGGAAAGCAAAAAAAACATACGTACAACTTACATGATTAGAAATAAGTATGGAAAATTAATTAAGTGAACTGTCGATATTTTTCAGTGTACGAAAGAAACTTACAAACTGTACTCCTGTGTCATTCAGTATCCCAACACCAGCAGAAGCAAAATTTGCACCGACAAGCAACCTTTCACCAGTGAGATATGGACTCAAGTATGGCAATGTTGATTCTTCTCCAATGGCTTGACCTAATATGTAATCAAATTTTAATCAATATTTATTTGTAAAATTAACCTCCACTTATATATCAAAAATTTAAAACGAAATAACTCAACTGATAAGATCAGGAATGTTAAATCCATTAGAGAACCGGCCTGTGGCACGGTGAGTGGGATAATCAATCCCATAAGGATATGCGTCGGCCCTTGCAGTCGTAGCCAAGTAGTTGTTGTTGCCATTGTCAACTAATGAGTCTCCAAACACAAAGAAAGCTCTAGCTTCAGCTTCAAGAACAACATTTCTTAAAACTGCAAGTATCAGACACAAAAATATGGCAAGTGATGATTTTGAGCTAGCCATTCTTACGTACGTATAACTAAAAATAGTCTAGCTAGTAGCTAGTCTTTATCAGTAGCAATGTATATAAAAACACACACACACAGAGGAAGGTGTGTTTGTGTGTTATGTGAAAAATAGAGGGGGGAAGGAGGTCTATAAATATGCATTTTGGAATCGATGAGGACGAAGATGTAGTCAGTGTTGTGCCAATCCCAACTACACAAGGTTAGTTGTTCTGGTGTATTCAATGTTACAGTTATTTGACACACATTAAATTATTACACGAATACTTACACTGGTGTAGCTAGCCCCTACTGTCAGCAAATCTAGTTTCTTGATTAAGTACAATCACCATTGAAGCAAAAATCGATTTTCGTGCAATAGACACCACAATGATAATGTCTTATGTTGCTTTTCGAAAATGTAAGAATACGTTTGTTTTTTCTCGACGTATATAGTGCAACCATGTGCCTACACCAAACCTTGTTTTGGGAAATTTAACGCCATGAATGATGAAGTAGATTTCATTATTGAGTAAAAGAGTATGTTCAAAGAAAAAAAAAATTACAACTATAAATAGGAAAGTTATCTAGGTTATCATTTCTTGAAGGAGTTGGGTAAAACATACAAAAGACACTTGAATGCGCCTTTATGTACCAGCTACGATGGTTGCAGCTCCCCTGACTTCTTGAACGAAGATCAATAGATTTTAACCTATATGTTGATGGTGGTGCTTGAACCTGCACTTGTTCCTTTATCCACCGATGGGCCTTTAGTCTAAATCTCGAATCACAACTACAGTTTCATCGGAGACTACTATTCCTTTCTAAATTGGGTCCTAAACTCGAACCCCAATAAGGTCTTTACTTGGCTATAGTAATAGACCAAATGACCACATTCTAATGACCTTCTATTGCATGACGCAACGAACTAGACTCTTGTTTCTATGAGTTAAACACGAACACGAAGGAAACCTTCCTTCATGTTCAAATGTGGTATACTACATCATAGCAGATAGCATTTCTAGCTACTGGTTGCTCAGTCCTGATGAAGGCTGAAATGATTCTGTCGATCACCTCGATCATCTCTTTCTTCAATCTCCTAACTAAAGTCGCTCACTATACATGACATGGTTCTCTTTGACCAATCCACTCACTTATACAAATTTATATAATTCGGAATCGATATTTCATGACCACTTGGGACTGAATACTTTCCAAGTCATCACCATAGCCTAGGTAATAGTAGAAACCGACAAAACAACTCAACTACTAGTGCCTTAGTAACCTTGCGACTCTTCCTGATTCAAGTATGGATCTTATGCTTCCAGTAGTATAGGCCTATACTACCATTCACACATATGCATACTCGTCCCAAGAACTGCCTTGTAGTTCCTAAGTCACAACACATGAAAACCACAAAACAATTTTGCATATATGTATGTGTCCAGACGAATACATGCAACACAATTTCCTAGACTCCACTAGGAGTTTCTTATTTGTATCATGTGCTCTAAAAACAACCATGTGTTTTACCAAACACGTACTAAAATCTCATAAACTCCTCTGCAAGGATTCTTTTCGTATATATGCTTGATCTAGCATATCCTAACGCTTTTTGCAGTCTATAGAGTATACTATATCTGAATGCACTCTGGTGGTATGGAGACAAACGATCTTTAATTATTTACACCACCTTTTGACACATGAAAACACCTAGCATATCATTTTATCTCTTCACTTTATTATCCTTTACTTTCTAAGAGTCAATCCTAAAAAGTCTACATTTTCGCTGTATCTCAACATGTTCTACTACCTTCCACTTAGTTCTTTTATCATCCTTGACATTAATATCTCATCTCGTGCAATAATATGGGTGTATTGCCTCTTCAGCTAAACGTTCTAACTTTACATAAACAAGTAAATTATTTAGCACTTCACAAACCAATAACTAATTTAACCATCCTTGTCCTGTATGTTAAAATCGACTTAACACATTATGTAATTCTTGTAACGATGTGATAGAAGTTAATTGCCACTCAATATTATTTAATACAAAGTCAGAGCATCCTGGATATGGCACATATCAACTTTTAACACACCATTCGAACTTCATACTATATTGTAACGACAGACAAAGTCTTGGCCTATTGAGTTTGGGAACTCTGTCAGCCGTGATATTTTCTTCATTCTTGAATTCTCTGAATTCTTTATAGCATATCATATAACTTCAACTTTAATGCTATTGAACTGTTTATCACAATCTTCAGTACTTCTAAATCCATAAGCCATCCTTGCTTCAAACTGGTCGGTGGTAAAATCGATAGGCGGTAGGCTGACTTCATCGATTACGCCAAAGTCTTATCATCCCGCCACCGGTTAATGTACTACAAATGTACGATACTTTTCCGATGGTACTATCACTTTGCCAAACACACTATAGAGTTATGATACCACACTATTGGTATTTATATAATATTTACAAAGTTACCGATGTGAACTATTGTAAGTTGTAACGACGTAAATTTTTCAAACCAAAATTTTCATTTAGAACATAAAAATCACATGTTATATTTCCCAAAAACCTCAAGTATCAATATTAATACAATTTATTTATCAAAAATTGTTATCACATAAACCAGGATCCTCCAAAATATACTTCCAAAGCGAGTGTGTGTACAATCAAGCCGGAGCCTTCCCGCGATCATCAGAAGTACCTGAAACACATAACACATAACACGGTAAGCACGAAGCTTAGTGAGTTCCCCAAAATACCACATAAAACATATTAGCCACTCGAGGCTATAACTCTGTAAGACCCTCCGATCAATGTGTCTCAGTGGGACCCTCCAGTCTCACAACTCTGATGGACCCTCCGGTCCTAACTCTGAATACACATATCATAAATCACACAGACATAATGTAATAATATCACAGTACTCAAATAAACACATAAGACCCTCTGGTCACACGTAGATACCACTCTAGGCAAAGTATAGTGAGAAGACTCACCTCGTAAGCTAGCTAGTAAAATCGCGTGCTCGGAATCCTCGATCTAGCCTCCGCCTATCACAAGGATAATATCTCTAATTAATACTCTCCTTATACTCGACTACACCATTCATTGGTCTCTCTTACACTCTTAGCCCTAGAAATGGGTAAAAGACCATTTTACCCTTCCTTGACCTCCATTACTCATTTGACCAACCCTAAAGTCAACAGAAGTCAATTCCAGTCAACAGCCCAAATTGACCAGACTCGCCGAGTGCACTCGTGCGACTCGTCGAGTCCAATCGTTCTCAGTAATCTCATGAAGGTCCAGCTCGTCAAGTTAACCCCTAACTCGCCGAGCCATCGCATGATAAAGCTCATCGGGACAAACCCTAATCGACTCGGCGAGTCCATTCAGACTCAATTTCTATTCAGATGATTCCAAGGCAGAAAACTCTCTCACACTCTAGATCTAAGCTCTCTAGGCTCGAATATCACGTAAAGCCTTGAGCTTTACGTTCATGCATGACACAAAAGGGCTAAAAGTGCTAAAAACAAGTTTGAGAAGAAGTTCTCATACAAAAGGGCTAACATGGCTGAATAAAGCAGGGGACTTTCGACTCTAGGGACCTTACAAGGTCCAGATCTGATGTCCAACTCTAAGAAGGTCCTCAAAACCTTCAAGGTCCCCCATAAGAAGATGGAAATGAAACCCTAACTCTAGCACCATGAGATCTATCCATACAAAAGAGAAAGGTCTGAAATTTATACCTCAAACAGAAGCTCCTGGACGTATAAGCAGCAAATCTAACAGCCTCTTCACAATCCTTGCTTGGAATCCTCCTTTCCTCTACCAAAATGCACCCAAAAATCTCAAATAAAGCTCAAAACTCTCTCAAAAGCTCAAGGGGGCGATTAGGGTTTCTTCTCAGTGAGGTGTGGCCGCAAATGAGGCTATAAGTGCCTTTAAATATGCCCCAAACCCGGGGATCTAGGGTTTCCACTTATAGTGCCTACTCGGGAGTCTACTCTCGGACTCGTCGAGTAGATCATTAAACTCACGTGGCCAAACCCGCTTCTACTCGGCGAGTTATAGTACCAACTCGTCGAGTAGATCAATGAACCTCAACAACAAAAAAAATAAAAAATAAAAAAATATACCTGGGAATCCGGATGTTACATAAGTTTCCTTGTTTCCTTCAAAAGTTACATGTCAATTCTAACATAGTAATTAAACGTTTAGAATCCTTTACACATAAAATTCTCTTTCTCCCAATAAAGGTTGGCAATAGAACTCAAATTCATTCAATTAATAGCAAATTTAGGTAGGTAACATAAAGTATGTTATAACACATATCATTTAGCACGTATTAGCACATAAGGCATTACTCCTAAAGTATGACAGTGCACCAAATAGCAAGCAAGGTATAAAACGTAAGGCATGCTATAAAATAACTTCATTAGCACATAATATTAATTAAGGAATTTACCCTAAAATACTCTAGTGCTTGTGTCTTTATTATAATAATTTTAGGTAAACAGCCTAAAATATACTAGACACCTCTCACCATCATCGCTTAATATCTAAGTTTAAGTCTAGTCACAATCATTATTCCTAGTTTTCTTAAACTAATGCTATGATACAAACTGTGACATACCCTTATTTCCAGAACAAAAAAAAACATTTCTTTACGCTTTAAAATCATATTATTTTTGTTTGCGGAAAATCCCCGTATAGTAAAATATTTGTGGAAACTGTTTCGTTTTATTAAAATATCTTTGAGTAAAGATGTTGTTTCAAAATACAAAAACTCTAAGGATGTCATAATCAATACATAACATTGTTACATCATAAATACCTAATGGTCTTGAACACTATTGTAGGTTGTCTCTAAATCACTCGACATCCTAAACAAGCTTCAACGCTTTAACCGTGTTACCTGTGATGCATTTAAATTGAGTGAGTCAGGTTGGGAAACTTGGTGAGACGCATATGGTTTTCAATCCCATAATATTATTATAATAATAATTTATAATTATCAAACCTGAAAAGCCAACTATAACATATATATATATATATATATATATATATATATATATATATATATCATAACTTAGATATCTATAAAATTAAACCTACACATACCC